CGCACCGGGGGAAACGAAGCCAAAGTCCAGAATCCAGAGCCAATCCGAGTGCATCAGGGTAACTGCGGAGAGAATTGAAACGCCGGAAATTTAGAGGCCGAGAATTCGGACTCAGGGGAGTAAGTGCCACGCGGGGGGACGGAAATCAGCCGCCAGGGAATAGCAACCTCGTCGCTGGAACGAAGTCCAAAACTGGACGGATCCTTGCTGCGGCTAAGTCCATCAGCAGTGACATTGCGGAAGCCAGGGACATGCTCAATAAAAGTTGACACGCAGAAATGACGCTGCCACAAAAAGTAGGAAAGGAGCAGGGAACACATGCCGCGCGCCATAGATATGCCTTTCCAAGCGGCCGAGTCGGAGGGGCTGTTATCACAGCGACTGGTGAAGTGGATCGGATGGTGGGCGGCCGGAATCAAGAGGGCCACGCGCCAAAGGAGAGCAATCTGGCCAAGAAGCTCCCAGGCAGCAATAAATTTCTGAGGGGAAGTTTGCGGCGGGAACCACTGGAACATGTCTTGAAGGTCCGCAACGGAAAAGCAAGCGCGGAACCAGACGGTGCGAGAGTTGGGCAGTCGGACAAAGCCCCCAAGCCCCACCTGACGCGAGTCGGCGCAAGCATCCGCAAAGGCTTCGCAGGCAAAGAAAGGATCCAGGGCCAGCGGAAAAGAAGGAGCGTCACCCAGGAGACACGACTCCCAGAGACGTAGAGCTTCTTTGGATTCCGGTGAAAGCTTACGGGCCGAGTCGGCAGGCATGCGAACGGAAATCCAGATGCGACGTTCCCCTGGAAAATGATGAGGAACCTGTGAAAGGCCAGAAACCTCTTTCTGAGCAACGGACAACAAGGTGCACCCCTTTGGGCAGCTAGCTATGCCGATCTCGCGCAGGAGCACCAGATCACCGGAAAGATTGGACCGGAAAGCTGACCACTTATCCGGGCCAAGTGCAACGTGCACCAGCGGCGGAAGGCTCTGGTCCTTGTAAAGAGGGGCCAGCGAAGGCCGGAAAGCACGGAACAAAGAGCACACCCACAACAGTTTGCCAGTGAGCTTGCGGAGCAGCGCTAGCGGCAATGAGTCCAAGTCCAACGAGGAACGGAGCAGGGAGCGCAGGCGGGCCAGCTTTGAAGGCTCCATGGCAGCAGTGAAACTGTTGAGGGAAATGGACCAGCCTATCCAAGTGGGTCGAGAGCCAAGGTATGCCTTATGCCAGCTCATAGGAACCCGGAGGATCAAAAGGAGGATGCACATCAGCGCCGCCCAAACCGGAGCGGAAGGCCCGGACAAGAGGGAAATAAGGTCATCCGCGTATATGAGAAGCGCGTGGCGGACGTATATCAGCTAACATTTAAAATGAGAGCAAACAATGCCTCCAGAGCGGGCCGGGCCGGAGCACAACGCCGCAAACCGGAAATGGTAGGGTTGGCGGATTTGTTGGGAAGGGAAGTGTGGTCGGTGACCCCGGAAACGCTGCTGTCGACCACCAAGCGGGGGTCACGATCAGGAGCCTTTACAAGACCCAGCTTGCCAACTGCAGATCGGGAATAGTTAGCTTTTAGAGCAGCTAACCCGCCAGGGACCGGCTGGACCCAACCCTCACGAATCTCCGAATCCAGGAGGGAATCCACGGTTTGAGGATCAGAAAGAGCGGAACCCCAAGCGGACTCACAGTGCTGAAGCGGGACCTTGGGAGACACAGGTGCGGAGGGCGGAAAAAGTGCGGGACAAGAGGGCATTGCTTCATCAACCCCAAGCGGAACACCCTCAACCAACAGGTCAATGAATGATATGTCCGGGTCCCTGGAAACCTCCAGCAGGGCTTCGAGCAAGAACAGACGGAAGGGTTGGCCAGGAGGAACACACAACAGGGTTTCGAACTCCTTCTCGGATAACCTCAAAAAGGATCGCAGGTCCTCAAGGAAGGGACGTAAGTCCACATCAGACAACGGAGGGTCTTTGGAGCCGGACGCCAGGTTTGCACGGAATTTCCCGAGGAAGTCCGGACGGGTAATTCGCTGCATCCAGGCCTGACGCAGCTGCTTAAAGGAATCCTCACCCTGGGGCACGGACCAGGATCCGGTAGAGCAGGAGCCTGCACCGTCTTCGACACGAGAGGCCGGGATCGGCCAGTGCAGCTTTGGTGCAAGGAGACGTTTTTCCCAGTCCAGGAACGGAACCACACCCACGTTTTGCGAAAGGAGGGGGGCAAGGATGGAGGCCAGGCGTGAACACAGAGATGCAGGGTAACACGCCGTATGCCGTGTAAGAAACTGGCCGGAAGAATCACGGAGGCCAGAAATAGCAGCATGGGAGCCTCTCGGGTGTTGGCAGGAGGACGCCAAGGCGGACAGGTCGGATAGGTTAGAAACAAAAGTCCATGACTTGAAGACATCGAGGCCGTGATTGCAGGCGGAGACCTCCACAGCGGAAAGGCAATGATGGCGAATCCAAGACATGCAGCCCGGATGATGCCAGAGCAGGCTCGTGGACGGATTTTCCAAGATAGCGATGCCCCCGTTAATGAGGACGAGGGAAAGCAGCTCGCGCGTAAAGGCGTGGAGCTGATCCGAAATCTGAAGTTCGGATTGCTGTTTAGGGCTGGGTTTAGGAATGCCTCGGGGGTACTTAGGGGTACGAACCGGCGCGGGTCCCCCGGGACGCAAGCGAGCACGGCTAAAACTAGAGCAAGGAGGGCCGGCGCACAGCGCGCGAACGAGGCCGGAGCAGCAGAGACGCTTGAGGGATTCCTGATGGACTGGATCCAGAACGTCGATCTGTTCACCGAACAAAGCATCCACTGGGGCGATACGGTCGCAGCCTAGTTCACTTATTGCCATGCTGAGTGGGGCGGCTGCACCTGAAAACAGGTCGAGGAACAGGGCCGGTTGAGGAGCGGCTGGTTTTGGGCTTGCGGGGATGACATTGGGGGCGGAAGCGGGTGGAGCGGTGCCCGCCTCACACCCAGCACACGGGTGGGGAGCGCTGCCAAGCTTACGTCCCAAGGGGATGCAAGGCCGGACGTAAGAGAAAGAGTAGCCCAGCTTAGGCCGTATTGGTGAGCGGGATCGTTGCAAACCAGGGTTGCGGCAGCTCGGCTGAAGCGCCGGGGTCTCAACCTCAACAACGGAGCCATCGGAGCTTGATGAGTCCACAACTGAGGCTTCATCAACCGCATGCGCAGCAACAGTGCTACCCACGGGGGGCGGGGCGGGAGCTGCCAGCATCTTCGCTTGCGGAGAATCTCAGTGGGCCATCGACTTATGCTTCGAAGCGGTATGATGTTGCCCACAGGGTTTACCGGTCGGAAGCGGAATAGGGCACGAATGGGCGAACCGGCACGAGGACAGCTGGCACCGGCCAAGCACAAACCGCCGGCATATTTCTTTTCCATTGGCATCTACGGAATGCCACGACTCATCCACAGTTCGGATACGGGCCGGCGGCCACCGGCTGGGGCTTTAGGGTTGGCCTTACCCTTAGGGTTCGGAGGGTCCTTGCGCGGTTTCTTAGGGGGGCGGTCAGGATTATCGGCGCGGTCGCTTGCCACATTGGCTCCACCCCGAGGGTTGGAGTCGCGGACCGGCGGGGCAGGCATTGACCTGGGCCGTGGGCAGAGAACCGTGGGGATCATGTGCCGAGTGACGGTGATCTCTTGCAATGCGTCCGCCAGCGAGAATTTCTCGTCCCTCATTAAACCAGCTATGGCACCCCAGACAGCCTTGTCAGCGGCGAGAACCTCCTGCATGGAAGGGGGGCGGAGCGACGAATCCAACGGAGTGGCCGTAGCGGCGGAGATGAAGCTTTCGGCGTATGCTTTGCCGAGCTTGAGGTGAAGATCGCCCAAGAATGCCAGGGCCGTGATGAGGAGACCGAGGTGTCGTCTCAAGGCCGGCTCCACAGGACCGGACGTGTGTGCAGGGGCCTGAGCAGTAACCGGTTCGGGAACACCATCAAGCAAGTGCCGAAGAAGCTGGCCGTCGGAGCGGGGCCGCCGGTTCTCGTAAAACATCTGCAGATCATGCTCAGAAGTGCGAAGGCGCCATGGCACCCAAAGGGTGGTAGGCTTGTCCAGTTCGGCCCGGAGACGGTTCAAAAACTCGACCGACGGTGTGGAGGCAGGAGACAGCAATTCTCCCGGATACGAGTCAATGAACTTGGTACGGAGTGTTTCAGCATTCTCGGCAGTGATCTTGGGCGGGGGCGTGGACGGGATGGCAGCAGCGGCAGGGCCAGCCGACGATGCCGGCGGATGCACCAAGGCACGGGACTGGACGAGAAGTCGACGGGCAAATGACGCCTCGAATGTCACCAAGGTTGGAGGGTTATCCGGGTCGGAGGGCGGCCACAGCACGCGCAGAAAGTCATCCGGGCTGCCATCGCCCGGAATGGCATAGGCAATGGAAGCAATGGTGCGGAACCCTTTCGCGACCAGCAGCGGATGAAGACTATCCGGAGCGGTCCATTTGGCAAGCAGGGCGGACAAGGCCAATGGATCATCGAATGCAGGCGGGGCGGACGTCATTCTGCAGAAGTCCAAAGAGTCCAGAGACAGTCTACAAAGTGGGCCTGGAGCAATAAATGGCTGCGGCAGAGCGATCGGAGCAAGAAAGGGCGAGAACACGCAAGCCAAAGGCACACGCGATCGGGTCCTTTTTGCCCGGGGCAGCAGTACCATACGTCCACAGCAGGCCGGAAAGGACCGGGCCGGAGCAACGGCGAGGTCGGAGACGGGCCGGGCTCACCAGCCAAAGCGGTGGCAGATGCGGCACGCATGGCTGGCGTGACCCCGCCGGCGGGTAGGGTCAATGCGGCGACCACAAGCTTGATTGCAGTCGGGATTGCTGCAGGGTTCCTGGCAGTAGATCACCTCCGGTTCGGCACGGACGATGCGGACGCAAAGTCGGGCGAGGCGGGTGAGAAATGCAGCAGAACAACGGCGGAGGATCGTGGTGAGTTCGGCATCAGTGACATCTTCCAAATCCCGAAGGTCCAAAGCGGCCGGAAGCAGCAGTGCGCCAGTCGCATCGGCAGCCGGGCGGGGCGGGAATCCAGGATACCCGTCGGACCCACCCGCGGAGCCCTCGGCCGAGGCGGAATTGCGCGAGGCACGATCAGCCATGATGGGTCGCAATGGGCGCAAAGAAGGGGCGGGGCAGAGCAAGAAAATGGCTGCGGAGGAAGACAAGCAAGGCAAGTGCAAGAACAAGGTGCCACTCACAGGTCAACATACGGTCCGCGCATTTTTGCCCCCCCCAGAGTGCGGTCTCACGCGGGGCGACAGGCACGTCTGAGGCACGTTTGCGCCCCAGCCGGGGCGGCAGGGCACCAGGCGTCGGAGGTGAGTTGCCCCACGGAAGCGCCACACGCCGGCTTCACCCAAAAGGGCTCCAGACCCGACAGCTGGACACAGACCGACTTAGCGGCATGAGCTTCGCATGGAATCGGGCGGTGCAGGATGTTGCTGCGGGGGTTATGCAAGAACCCTTTCAGGGGTAAAGGGCGGGGCTTAGCTACAGAGTTCGGGGCGGGTTCTTCAGCATCCGAGGCAGACACCACCGAGTCCTCAGAATCCGAGCTATCATCAGAGAGATCGGTGTCGGTGGAATCATTATGCGAGACAGCCGGGCTGGGAGGAGGAGTGCGTGACCTGGCCGTGTAGTCTGTAGCAGGACCAGGAGACAAGTGTCGGTCCGGGGGGGGCAAGGTCACAGGAAAGTCCGGAAGGGGGTTCGCGGAACCTCTGGCAACCGGCTGCAGTGGTCTATACCCGGACCGAATCCGATTAATAACCTCGGCTTGCAGAAGCAACATGGGCCCCACGTCGTCGCGGCTATAAATGCGGACGGACCCTTCGACAGTGCAGGGGCGGTGGTGACCTTGCAACCTGCGGAGTTCGGGATCCAGATTAAGCTGCCGGGCCCACGACAGGACAGTGGCTTTGCAACTGTGCACACCATACAGGGCATGTTCGGAGGGCGGAGCGGCATCAGTGTTAGCCCTCCAGTGTTCGTCGAGCAAGGACCGAAGCCACGGCATAGCACGAGAGCGGTGGAGAGGGGCAACACAAACCGGAGCCCCGGGGTCAGCACTAAGGACGGGAAGCAAGAAATCCACCACACGGCCCGAGAAGAGGCGGGACGTGTTAGCACAGCACTG